TTTGTGTTTTTTAGGACAGGAAACCATGCCCTATTTGTTTTGAAACTCTCTTCTTTCTTGTTGAAATTGTGTTTATGTTTATGAATTTCAATGGCTTCCCTGTGTAATCTGACATGGTAATTGGATGTGTTGTCCAGCCTTTCAGTGTCTTGGAATAAGCCAGGGCACAGGGTTGGAATAAGATACTGTGTCCTGTTTTAGTTTCCATTTTTCCATTTGTGCACATAGATGAACAAAACCTATTGAGGCAGACTCAGCATGGGTTCTGTAAGGGAAGATCTTGTCTCACAAACCTGTTAATGTTCTTTGAGGGGGTGAACAAACATGTGGACAAGGGGGATCCAATAGATATTGTTTACCTTGACTTCCAGAAAGCTTTTGATAAAGTTCCTCATCAAAGGCTCCTAAGTAAGCTCAAAAATCATGGGATAAAAGGACAAGTCCTTTTATGGATCAAAAACTGGCTAATTAATAGAAAACAGAGAGTGAGTATAAATGGGCAGTTCTCCCAGTGGAGGGGGGTAAGCAGTGGGGTACCGCAGGGATCAGTACTTGGTCCACTGCTTTTTAACTTGTTCATTAATGATTTGGAGATGGGAGTAAGCAGTGAAGTGGCTAAATTTGCAGATGATACGAAGTTGTTCAGGGTGGTGAAAACCAGTGAGGATTGTGAGGCACTCCAAAGGGATCTGTCAAAGATGGGCAAGTGGGCGTCAACATGGCAAATGGGGTTCAATGTGGCCAAGTGCAAGGTGATGCACATTGGAGCCAAAAATCCTAAATATAAATACACATTGATGGGGTCTGAACTGGCAGAGACAGATCAAGAGAGAGATCTTGGAGTTGTAGTAGATAACTCACTGAAAATGTCGAGACAGTGTGTGACTGCAATAAAGAAGGCCAATGCTATGCTGGGGATTATTAGGAAGGGTATTGAAAACAGATCAGCCAATATAATAATGCCCCTATATAAATCAATGGTGAGACCTCATTTGGAATACTGTGTGCAGTTCTGGTCACCACACCTTAAAAAGGATATTATAGCTTTGGAAAAAGTGCAGAAAAGGGCAACTCGAATGATAAAAGGGTTGGAACACTTTCAACATATTGGCTTTACATCTTCTCTTCTTTCATATCCTCACAACAACCCTGCAAGGTAGGTCAGGCAAAAAGTGTGTGACCAGCCCAAAGTCACCCAGCCAGCTTCCATGGCAGCGTGGGGATTTGAAACTGGGTTTCCCGGACTGTTGTGGAGTACTCACTTCCCGTGTACAGTATCTGAATTTGTCTCTTCCTTATGATTCTTCTATTTCAGCAGTGAATGGGAGACCCATTTTAGAGGGTGGGGTGGGAAGCAGGGCCCTTCCCGTGTTTTAGACCATGTGTGGCTGCATCTTGGAATAGAATCAGAGGAGCTCCTCCTGCATCCCCATGTTCAAAAACACTTGGTGGGTTCAGGGGAAGGAGTTGGCGGGTGCCAGGCGACCCACAGGCACCAGGGAGTTATTGAGTGGAGGGATCCTCCTTGCTGGATGTCTCCAAGGAGAGCTTGACCAGTCTTCTGTGGTGGGCACTCCAGTTTTGAGCTTCCTGCATTGAACAGGGAGTTAGATTGGATGGCCTTGAAGATCCCTTTCAACGCTAGGATTCTAAGACTTGTATTTCTGGCCAGCTCACTTGTTCTACATGTTTTTAAGACTTGTATTTCTTGGCCAGCTCACTTGTTCTACATGTTGACTTACTATGGTGATGGAGCATAAGTTTCCAAACTGTGTTCCTTAGAAACTTATTAGGGGTTCTTCCCCAAGATGAAGAATAGGAGGAGATTGGATTTACACCCCGCCCTTCACTTGGAGTCTCAGAGCGGCTTACAAACTCCTTTCCCTTCCCCACAACAGACACCCTGTTGAGGTAGGTGGGGCTGAGAGAGCTCTTTCCGGGACTGCTCTTGAGAGAACAGCTCTGAGAGAACTTGTGACTGATCTAAGGTCACCCAGCTGGCTGCATGTGGAGGAGTGGGGAATCAAACCCGGTTCTCCCGGATTAGAGTCCGTGCTCCTAACCACGACACCAAAATGGCAGACAGAAATCTTGCTTACCTAGACCTGTAGATCCTCCCTTAAAATGCTACCCTGGAGTTGGATAGGTCAATCTGGGACATGATCGTGGTTTGTGGGAAGTGATAGTGAAGGCCAAGAATCCTCCCAGAATCCTCCTCGACATTCCCAGAATCCTCTGCGACGTGCAGAGGCCTCTGTGGCAGATGAAGGAATACCCGGATGGTAGAATGTGTGAAAATAAACGACCATTCTAAACTGTGAGTGGAGCCCGGCATTTGGTTGCATGTCAAAGGCACAAATCCATTTACTGTGAAAAAAATAACATGTGATTGCCTCGTCTCAATGGCAGTGACGTACTTACTATATAGTGTGGGGGGAAAGGTCTTGCAAGAATTTGCGTGCCCCACCACTAAAGTCACTTCGCTCACCCGACATAAATCAATACCAAACCAAACCCTGGCAATCCATAGAAACCAAACAGAAGAAGTGTTTTATTATTGAAAATATTTACATTATTTCTCAACGTCACATAAAAAGCCTCGGAGGTCATATGCCGTGTTCTACAAAGCAGGTCAGATGCTCTCCAGGGGGACGCGATCCTCATAACAGCAGCGTCATCTGTGTGGTGTTTTTGTACAAAGTTTTCCCTTTTTTTTAAAAAAAAAGATCTGTACGTTTAGTTTTCAAGGTGCCGGCTGAAGAAGCCGAACGATTCCTCCGACTTGCTCTTCTGAGGCGTAAGCGGAGAGAGCCCCAGGAGCTAAGAGACACCCTCTTCAAAGCTCTTGTCTGAAGCAGAGATGAAAACGAAGGAACCGGGGAAAAAGTGGGTGATCCAAAAGAGTTACGCAGACGGTCCGCTTCTAAGCTGGCTGAGCCACCGGGACCAACATCTCGCACAAAAACTAAAAATTTGTCCCAAAGACTTTCTCTCTCTCTCTCTGTATGTGTGCTAACAGCAACAATCGAGAAGATGTGTGTGTGGTTTCCAAACTTTCATTTCTTGAATTCATTGGGGGGGCGGGGGCAGAAATGATCACGCTCCTCATGGGAACTGGTTGGTGGACCGCCATTTTAACCTACCCAGACCTAGCCTGATCTCAGAAGCTAAGCAGGGTCGGCCTTGGTCAGTATTTGGATGGGAGACCACCAGGGAAGTCCGGGGTTGCTACACAGAGGCAGGCAGTTGGCAAACCCATCTCTGTATGTCTTTTGCCCAGTCC